CTCGAGCTCGAGTAGCTGCTCAACCGCCAAATTCTGCCAACAGTCACGCCAATGTAGATACATCCCATCTAACGGGGCCAAATGAGCCAGCATCAGAAGGCGCATCTGGTGGTTGTAACGTCATGAACATTCCAAATAATGTACCAGCGAGCGCGCCTACGATAAATTCCAATGCAGATGAAAATCAGAGAATTCGCAACTTGGTTTCGAGCATTATCACCGCTAGACAGGCTTCGGCTTTTGAGAGTTTAGAAAATCGGGTAGCACAACTGATCGAACAGAAGATTGAAAGTAGTTTGAATGAAGTATTTTCTAGATTAAATCTAAATAATATTCAACCAGCTGTCTCTTTGAACCAGCAACCTAATACGCCGAGTAGAGAGCAGGGTATTCAAAACCCCCAGAGACACCAGAACAATTCAACCCCATTTTGGCCGCAAAATGCACCCCCACGGGTAAATCAGTCTGACTTTGGTAGTTTTCCGAGACACCTCGATCAATTGCGGTTCAGTGATATATCCAGTGTCCCGAATTCCGGAAGAATGGCACAGTTAATAGCGAGTTGGGACATAAAATTTTATGGGACTTCAAATCTTTCAGTTGACAGCTTCCTGTATAGGATTGAAAGTCAGGTTGTAGACACGCTAGGTGGAAATTTTAATCTTATATGCGAGCATGTGCAAAGCTTATTTACAGGAGAAGCCAAAGAGTGGTATTGGCGATATCGCAGGTCAGTTGACAGGGTGACATGGCCGTCATTAACCCAGGCTCTTCGAACTAATTTTGAAGAGCACAAAAGCGATACGGATATCAAAGAGCAGATTCGTGCACGCAAACAAGGCACTAACGAATCTTTCGATGATTTCCGAAACGCTATCTTAAAGATCGCAGAGAATTTACACACCCCTTTTCCCGAGTCGGAGTTAATTGAAATCCTTCAGAGGAATCTCAGACTTCGAGTACGCCAACAGTTGTTGTATGTCCAAATAAATTCCCAAGCCGAGCTGCGCAAACTTTGCATAAAGGGAGAAAGTCTATATAACGAGATATCCAAATCGGCTTTTTCTAACAATTTACCGAATACCCAGCGCCAGGTTACTCGTCGCCAGGTGAATGAATTAGACCACAGCTTGGACTTAGTGGAGGAGAGTGCGCCTGAAGCCACAGGTGAAATAGATGAGGTTGCCAGGAAGTCAAAATTAACCTGTTGGAACTGCCGGAAGGAAGGCCACAGGTATTTTGATTGCCTGGAAAACCGAACTGTATTTTGCTACGGGTGCGGTGCTTCCGACACATATAAACCCTTTTGCACCAACTGCAATCCGGGAAACGTGCCAAAGAGCGAGGGTTTGAAGTCGAATCCTCGCCAGGACCCGAAAACAATGAACTAAACTCGCAGGTTTGCTCGAAAAGTGACAACTCGCGCTTGTTACTCATACGCCCTGTGGAAAATAATGATGTACCTGTAAACTCAAATTTAATAAAAATTGTCCCATACGACATTCGTTTAAACAATTATAACTCTGCCAGAAGAAGAATTTTCATGGAAGAAGATTCAAGTGTCCGTCCGAAGCGTTCCTCTGTCCGTTTGAACAAGTTTTGGAAATTGGTCAAATCTCAGCGTAAAAATGTCAACCAAATGGTTTCCTGTATTCAAAATAAGAGTGGAGACGCAAGGCCATATGTGCAGATCTCAATATTCGGTGATGAATTCCTAGGTTTGCTGGACAGCGGTGCTCAAATATCGGTTTTGGGTAGCCATCTTGCAACTAAACTTGTGAAGGACAAAAAGTTGAAAGAGCATAAAGCCAGTGTTTGCACTGCTGATGGTAAGATGCAGGTAAATTTTGGTACTATTAGCACGGACGTTACATTTAAAGACAAAATTGAAAAAATCAACTTTTATGTCATTCCTAGTATGTCACAGTTGGTGATCCTTGGAGTGGACTTCTGGTGTAAATTCCAAATCGCTCCAAATATTGTAGCTGAGGTTAGGGCGGAATCCGAGCTAAACGTTGCTCATGAGAACGTGTTACCTTTAAATTTTGAGCAGAAAAGACGTTTAGAAATCGTCAAAAATCTGTATCCAAATTCTGAAGTTGAAGGATTAGGCAGGACCTCTGTGATGGAGCACGTGATTGAGATTGAACCTAATGTCCGTCCGGTGAAGCAGCGATATTTTCCCATCTCACCAGCGGTGGAAAAACTAGTTCATAATGAGATCGATGAGATGCTCAAGTTAGGTGTGATCGAAGAATCCCCTAACAGTCCGTGGTCCAGTCCGATTGTTTTAGTCAGAAAGTCCGAAAAGGTCCGTCTGTGTTTAGATTGCCGTAAGGTCAATTCCGTCACAATAAAAGACGCATATCCACTACCTCATATAGAAGGTATATTATCAAGACTGCCGAAAGCCAGATTCATTAGCTCACTAGATTTGCGCAGAACCTTTTGGCAAATACCCCTGGCCGAAACGTCTAGAGATTTTACGTGCTTTACGGTTCCAAATCGCCCGTTGTATCGCTTCAAAGTTATGCCCTTTGGGCTCTGCAACGCTCCTCAAGCGCTATGTCGATTGATGGATCGCGTTATCCCCGCTTCATTGAAAGATCAAATATTCGTTTACCTGGATGACTAATTAGTCGTGTCCGAAACTTTCGAAGGCCACATGTCTGTTTTATCCGATGTAGCTCATCATTTACGTAAAGCTGGGCTTACAATTAATGTTCATAAAAGTCAGTTTTGTATCAAAGAGGTTAAATATTTAGGATATATTGTTGGCAACGGTACCCTACGATCAGATCCAGAGAAGATATCTTCGGTAACCGATTACCCTGTACCTAAAAATCAGAAACAGCTGCGAAGATTTTTAGGTATGGCAGGTTGGTACAGGCGTTTTGTTGCCAACTTCGCTGCCTTAACCTCACCGCTGACTAACCTCCTAAGGAAAACCAAGTCGTTTGATTGGAACGACGACGCCCAGCTAGCCTTTGACTCCCTAAAAGAAAAACTGTGTACTGCGCCAGTGCTTGCCAATCCTGACTACACAAAGCTGTTTTTGATACAGTGTGAGGCCAGCAAACTGGGTATAGGCGCCGTACTAGCTCAATCCCACGAAGAGGGTGTAGACATGCCAATCGCATACTACTCACATAAACTAAATAGAGCACAATCTAACTACAGTGTCACAGAACTGGAGTGCTTGGCGGCGATAATGAGTTTGAAGAAATTCCGAGCTTACGTGGAAGGTCAAGAATTCACAATCGTGACCGACCACGCAAGCTTACAATGGCTCATGCAGCAAGCGGATTTATCCGGTAGACTGGCGCGTTGGTCTCTAAAACTCCAGGGCTACAAATTTAAAATAGAACACAGGAGAGGCAGTCAAAATGTGGTGCCTGATTGTCTGTCTAGGCAGAATTTTGAGGAGGTGTGCTACTTAGAAGTTCGCCCGCTTGTCTGTTTAGAGTCTTCCGAGTTCAGTTCCGGCGAATATGAAAAGGTAAAGAGTTATGTCCGAGAAAATATGAACCGCCTGCCTGATTTGCAGATTATAGACAAGCATATATATAAGAGAACGGAACATCCAGATGGTAACCCAGAGAATGAAGCCTTTATATGGAAACTCTGGCTCCCTAAGCCCCTTGTTCAAGAAGCAATAGAAAATGCGCATAACCCTCCAAATAGGTGTCATGGTGGCATCGCCAAAACTTTAGAACACCTAAGGAAAAACTTATATTGGCCTAATATGACGGTAGATGTTAAGGAATTTATCGCCAAATGTGACACTTGCCGGCAAAGCAAAGCCCCCAACATATCCTTGCGACCACCTATGACGAATCAGTTTACGATTCAACGCCCATTCCAAAAACTATATGTGGACCTGATTGGCCCTTATCCGCGATCGAAGAATGGCAATATAGGCATTTTAATAGTTTTGGATCACCAAACAAAATTTCCTTTGCTCAAACCCATAAAAAAGTTTCATGCTTCACCGATTTGTGATTTCTTACGCGAAAGCGTATTTAGCATTTTTGGTACACCGGAAATCGTATTGACTGACAATGGGAATCAATTTAAGTCTATACTCTTTAATGATATGCTGAACGAACGCGGTATACGTCACGTATACACCGCGCTATATAGCCCACAGGCAAATGCCAGTGAACGAGTAAACAGGTCAATAGTGGCAGGTATCCGCGCTTATTTGTCCCAGGATCAAACCGATTGGGAAAAGCACCTGTATGAGATCAGCGAAGCGCTGAGAAGTGCTTACCATCAAACAATAGCATGTTCTCCTTATTTTGCTTTATTCGGGCAACAAATGACAACACATGCTCATGACTATCAACTGTTGAGAAATTTGCAAACGCTGGATGAAAACTTGCTGGACCGCTCTGATAGACTGCAGATAATTAGAAAGAATATATCCGAAAATATTGCCAAAGCTTTCGAGTCCTCAGCTAAACGCTATAATCTTCGTAGTTCTGTTAGGTGTTTCAAAATTGGTGACGAAGTATTTCTCAGGAATTTCGTACTTAGTGACGCTAGCAAAAGATTCTGTGCAAAACTGGCTCCAAAATTTGTGAAAGCGAAAGTGGTAGGGACGAAAGGCAGCTGCATGTATGAGCTCGAGGATATTGATAGCAAAAGGCGTGCATTTTATCATAAGAAGGACATCCAAGCCGCTAACGAATAAACCTTTTACCAAGACTCTAAGCGCGGGGGTGTGTACGGGCGTACATACTTCTACATACGTATATACTCGCAGTGGCAATGATGTACCTGCATAAAAGTTGTTTCACTGTAATATTCCTTTTTCTAGCTAAATACAAATATCCCTGTCCA